TCCGACATGACCCCATAAACTGTCTTCTACATTGGTCTGCCATAACCATACAGTCTTCTACAACGGTCTGACACGACCATACAGTGTCTCCTATCCATTTTTTATTTTATTTGTCAGATTTTTTTCCTGTTTTGTTACTCTCTCCAAACTCAAGTTGGTTAGTGCCTATCCTCCTTGAGTTTGAGGGGGGCTGTTAGTATATATTAGTATATATATTAGCTGTCAAACCTTTAATAATATACCTTTAATGATGTTGTTTGGTTTGTGTTTCTACTTTCGGTTTGTAATTGTTCTCCCTCTCCTCTATAAAGAAGAGAGCTCAACACAATCAATAATACATCAATAGATACATTATTCTCTCTGTATTTCTCTCTTTTACATTGAATTTAACAAATCGAAGTTTAGGTGACCTTCTGCGTTACCTTATAGGTGATCATGTTGGTAGTTGGGATCAAATTATTTCTATGGCTGAATTCGCATATGATAGTTTAGTTAATCGGACCACTAGTCGCAGCCCCTTTGAGACTGTGACAGGTTTACTTCCTCGTAAACCAATTGATTTGGTTCTTTTACCCGTTGAGGCACATCCTAATGTTGAAGCAGATGCTTTTGCTAAGCATATTCATGCGATACATGATGAGGTGTGAAGAAAGATTGTACTCAACAATAAGAGTTATAAAACACATGCTGATTTGAAAAGAAAGTTTGCAGGATTTAAAGAAGGGGAGAAAGTTTTAATTCTTCAAGAATTCTTTTAATCCACATTACTTCACAGATTCCATGGGCAACACATGTTGGTAGTTGGGATCAAATTCTTTCTATGGCTGAATTCGCATATGATAGTTCAGTTAATCGGACCACTAGTCGCAGCCCCTTTGAGACTGTGACAGGTTTACTTCCTCGTAAACCAATTGATTTGGTTCTTTTACCCGTTGAGGCACATCCTAATGTTGAAGCAGATGCTTTTGCTAAGCATATTCATGCGATACATGATGAGGTGCGAAGAAAGATTGTACTCAACAATAAGAGTTATAAAACACATGCTGATTTGAAAAGAAAGTTTGCAGAATTTGAAGAAGGGGACATGGTTATGGTCCGCATCAGATTTGAGCGATATCCTACGGGTGAATACAAGAAACTCCATTCAAGAAGTTCTGGTCCATACAAAGTTCTCAAGAAAATTAGTTCTAATACTTATGTACTTGATTTGCCGGACAATGTAGGCATAAGTAATGTCTTCAACATTGACGATCTTAAATTATACCGAGGTCATGATGATGATGATCCTAATGATGGTGATGCTACTCAACTTCCACCCACCCCACGTTTGAAGGAAGACATTGAAGATATTATTGATCATCAACTTGTTTCCACTACAGGTGGTGGCTATCAAAAGTACCTCATCAAATGGAAGGGGTGTCCCTTGTCAGATTGTACATGGTGTTAAAACCTATCACCTACTTCACCAACCTATCACCTACTTCACCCACTAAACCTAACCCACTACACCACTACCACCTCACCTACTCCACTAAACCCACTACACCACTACCACCTCCACTTCACCTACTCCACCTACCACCTCCACTTTACCTACTCCATCTACCACCTACTACCACCTACTCTTCTATATATAGGAATCATTGTAACATTCAATAAATCAACAATTACAAAAATCAATCAATAATACATACAATTTATTCTCTCTCTATTTCTCTTTATACATTAAATTTTTACATGGTATCAGAGCAGGTTTAGAACCTAGTATTTTCGCTTCACCGGCGGGCGGCAACCTCACCTTAGCCGTCCGCTGGACCTCAACCTATTCCGCTTATTTTCTACACATACCTTCCCATCAGTGGTGCTTTGCCGTGAGCCAGCGTAGTTTCTAACAAATTCCATCTTAGTCACCTGTGTGAACTTCTCCAAGGGACCGGGGACGATATCCCTGAAAAAGTCGACGGAGTCCTTTAACTTGGCTTCCCATTCCATCCCCACCCCAAATCACAACCGAAAAACAACATCAACATCATTTTAAGTTGGTTACACCCCTCCACCGTACAGTGTCAAAACCAGAAATTTGAAGCAGTGAAGCCATGGCAGGTCTGTCAAATGTGCTAGAAAACGGTACTATACTGGAACCCCGTCATGCAGCTGTCCTCGCTTACCCTGTACAGATCAATTCACAATCCTTTCTACAACTGACCTTATTCCCCATAACTTTAAAGTTTGAAGAGGTGGTTTACAAGGTTAGATTGGAGCAGAAAGGATCGTGCTGTGATGCAACATCGAGCTCCGTGGAGAAGACCATACTAATCGGGTTGACAGGTATGGTTTGTCCAGGAGAAATACTAGCGATGCTTGGCCCATTAGGCAGTGGAAAAACCACACTCCTTACTGCCCTCGGAGGTCGTCTTACTGGTAAGCTATCCGGAAAGATCACATATAATGGCCAGCCTTTTTGTGGTTCCATCAAAAGGAGAACAGGATTTGTTGCACAATACGATGTCTTATACCCTCATCTCACTGTAGCTGAAACTCTCCTATTCACTACACTGCTAAGGCTACCCTTTAGCTTGGCAAAGGATGAGAAAGTTCAGCATGTAGAGCGAGTTATCACCGAGTTGGGATTAACTCGGTGCCGGAACAGCATGATAGAAGGGCCACTGTTTAGAGGGATATCAGGCGGGGAGAAGAAAAGGGTGAGTATAGGCCAAGAAATGCTAATTAACCCAAGCTTACTATTGCTAGATGAACCCACTCATTTCTTTATTTTTTTCTTTTACTTCCTTTACCACCACTCACCCATGTGACCCACGATGCTCAGATTCTCCAACCTATACTTTTTCTTTTCATTACACTCTTGTTCCCCACTTTCTTTATTTTATATATATATATATCTATCTCTTTTTATTATATTATATTAAAAAAAAAAAAAAAAAACCATCATCATCTCTTCTCCGTTTGATTTCAAACTCCATTATTTTTATTTATTTTCTCCAAACCACTTTCCTTATTTCCCCCATCTTTCATTTTTGATTTCACATATATTTTTATTATTTCTTCCTTTATTTTCTTTCACATTATTTTTAATCTTTTTCCAATTCCATTCATACCATATAGCTTTGCACACCAAACCATATTTTATTCATCTCAGGGATCAACCCCGATCACAATTTTACACAAAAAAAAAACAACAACAACAAACCACCACACAACACCAAAAGCTTTGTTTTCTTTTCTGCAGCCGGCCACCAAACGACCTCACTTCTTCGCCTATTCCGCCGGTCTTTTCTTCTTGCCTCCGTCCTTCACCTACTCCACTAAACCTAACCCACTACACCACTACCACCTCACCTACTCCACTAAACCTAACCCACTACACCACTACCACCTCACCTACTCCACTAAACCTAACCCACTACACCACTACCACCTCACCTACTCCACTAAACCTAACCCACTACACCACTACCACCTCACCTACTCCACTAAACCTAACCCACTACACCACTACCACCTCACCTACTCCACTAAACCTAACCCACTACACCACTACCACCTCACCTACTCCACTAAACCTAACCCACTACACCACTACCACCTCACCTACTCCACTAAACCTAACCCACTACACCACTACCACCTCACCTACTCCACTAAACCTAACCCACTACACCACTACCACCTCACCTACTCCACTAAACCTAACCCACTACACCACTACCACCTCACCTACTCCACTAAACCTAACCCACTACACCACTACCACCTCACCTACTCCACTAAACCTAACCCACTACACCACTACCACCTCACCTACTCCACTAAACCTAACCCACTACACCACTACCACCTCACCTACTCCACTAAACCTAACCCACTACACCACTACCACCTCACCTACTCCACTAAACCTAACCCACTACACCACTACCACCTCACCTACTCCACTAAACCTAACCCACTACACCACTACCACCTCACCTACTCCACTAAACCTAACCCACTACACCACTACCACCTCACCTACTCCACTAAACCTAACCCACTACACCACTACCACCTCACCTACTCCACTAAACCTAACCCACTACACCACTACCACCTCACCTACTCCACTAAACCTAACCCACTACACCACTACCACCTCACCTACTCCACTAAACCTAACCCACTACACCACTACCACCTCACCTACTCCACTAAACCTAACCCACTACACCACTACCACCTCACCTACTCCACTAAACCTAACCCACTACACCACTACCACCTCACCTACTCCACTAAACCTAACCCACTACACCACTACCACCTCACCTACTCCACTAAACCTAACCCACTACACCACTACCACCTCACCTACTCCACTAAACCTAACCCACTACACCACTACCACCTCACCTACTCCACTAAACCTAACCCACTACACCACTACCACCTCACCTACTCCACTAAACCTAACCCACTACACCACTACCACCTCCACTTCACCTACTCCACCTACCACCTCCACTTTACCTACTCCATCTACCACCTACTACCACCTACTCTTCTATATATAGGAATCATTGTAACATTCAATAAATCAACAATTACAAAAATCAATCAATAATACATACAATTTATTCTCTCTCTATTTCTCTTTATACATTAAATTTTTACACAAGGATCAATGATGAGGAATTCCAACGCCTAGACCATGACTTATATGAACGATTCCATGCTTTTAACTCGCCAAGGTCGAGTTTTTTTCCGCCGGGGAGAGATGATGGAGGCAAGTGGCAGCAGCCTCTTAAGGTGTACAAGAGACGAGGAAGAGATGCCTCTAAGGCCCAAGCTTTGATTTGGCATGCATTGGATGATGAGCACCTTATTTGGGACCATGGCTAGTGAGTCATGTTTTAGGCTTATGAATCATGTTTTATTATTATTATTTTAGTTTAGGGTATTTTGGTAATTTCATAATTTCTAGATATGGGTTATACAGGTTGCCCATGGGTCGTCTTGTGGATCAAGTTATTTGATTAAATTTTATTTATGTTTCTTATTTGATCTTAAATTAGTTTTGGAAGTCTAAACTATTATATTACTTTCCTTTTTTGGTTCTAATTGGTTTAGGAAGTCTCTTAGTTCTATATAAAGCCATGTAATGCTTTTAATTATTTAGACTTGATATTTCAGAGAATTTAGAGCTTTTAAAGCTTCTTTATGGATTGTGTGACGCAATCAAACCCTAGGTGTGATGCCTAAGGAGTTCTATGAGTAATTCCTAAACTTATCTTCTTCTTCTCCTTCTTTCCCTCTTTTATTTTCTGCACTTTAAAGTTTAAACAGCCTAAACAGTGTTCACGGGTACTTTCACTACCCCAGAACAGCTCTTACAGTACTGTCCTGCATCACTTGGCCAAACAGAAAACTTTTTTTGAAGTTTCTGTAAAAAATAACAAGTCTGTGGCAGTGGCAGACTGGCTGATTTGCAATTCAACTTATGAGCTGGAGCCTGCAGTATTTACGTTATTTCCAAATATCATGCCTATAGGTCCACTTTTGGCAAGCAATCGACTTGAAAATTCAGCAGGCTACTTAATTCAACTTGTTTGGAATGGCTTGATCAACAGCCAGCAAACTCAGTCGTCCATGTTGCATTTGGGAGCTTCACAGTTTTTGACCAGATCCAGTTCCAAGAATTAGCTTTGGGGCTTGAACTCACCAACAGACCATTCTTATGGGTTGTGCTTCCAGATATAACTGACGAGAATAATGATGCTTACCTAAAAAGGTTCAAAGAAAGAGCAGCAACTCGTGGGCGAATGGTAGGTTGGGCACCTCAGCAGAAGGTCTTGGGACATCCTTCTGTTGCTTGCTTTTTAAGCCATTGTGGCTGGAACTCTACCATGGAAGGCCTAAGCAATGGAATCCCTCTCCCATGCTGGCCATACTTTGCTGACCAGTTTTTTAACCAAAGTTACATTTGTGATGTTTGGAAAGTTGGATTGGGGTTTAACTGTGATGAAAATGGGATCGTCAAACAAGGAGAAATTAAGGACAAGGTGGAGCAACTGTTCAGTGACAAGACATTTAAAGCAAGGTCTTTGGATCTGAAGGAAGTGGTTTCAAAAAGTGCCAAAGAAAGTGGATGCTCTCACAATAACTTTAACAATTTTATTGAATGGATGAAGGCATAGATAGGTTGTTCAGTCTGCGGACAACCTCGGGGTTTGTTTCTTGATTTTATTAATTATATGTCCCTGATACTGAAACTGGACTTTGTAATGTCTTTCTCAAACAGCTACACTGTGCTTTTTCTCTCTTATTGTGCTTTCATGCACCCAAGGCCTCCTGCCCCTTCTGGTACTTTGGAAGTTATTACATGCCTTTCATTAATGTGAATAGACTCTATACCAATAGGGCAACCAAGCAAGAAGCTAACCAGACTGCCAAGCCGAAGCACTCACCAGCAAGAACATGATCTAATTGAAGAACCGAAAGCACTCTGACATCAGGTTGGACAACATGCATCTTGGTTGGTGTCACCGCGACTAAATTTTTTATGTTACTTACTATACATTAGACAATACAGTTAATGCAAAAAGAGAACTAGGAGAATGCCATACCTGTTACTAGTACTATGACAAAAATAAAAATAAAAATAAAAATAATTGATTTTAGAGAAACATGTTAAACAAAAAAATTTGAAGGAAAAAAAAAATCATTTTTTTTATAAAAAAATAAAAAATAAACTTCATAGAAAATGAAACAAAAGCAGCATAGAAGCCATTGTAGCACATACCGGCTGAGTACCAAATATATTATTTCCTCCCATGTGAAGCACTTTCAAAGAAGAGCTCTAAAAGATTGAAGATGGTATGTAACCAGTGAGACCAACGTTCTGATAGATAGTATCTTCAAACTAACAAAATTACCCATACCACTGGAATTTTTACCTGCAAAAATATACCGATCCGATGAATCCTGTACTAGTGTTATTGTTGGATAATTAATGAAATTCAAGTGGACCAAACACGTCAACATCAAAAAAAGCTTCTTTCAAAATGGACAAAGCCCTTATGTTGAAAATTCAGATGGAAAAGCAATGTGTTGTATCTAAGCCATGTCATGGAGTAGTTTCTACTAAATTAGGTTATCAGTTTGTAAACTTTGAAATGGCACAAATTTTATTGAATTTTTGGTTGTCACTTTTCAACTCCAAGGCCTTTTTGCGCTGTTTTATTGCGCCCTTCAGTGATTGGTTGATTTCTTGCCAACCTTTTTTTCTTTTTTCCTTGGACTAGGTGTTGATTTTGTTCATCTGGTTTAGGCTATGATTTTCCAGCTTTGTTTGCAGCTCAGCTTGGCTTTTTTTTTATTTTTTTATTGATGTACTGAGATGCACCTCTGTTATACTCTTTATTTTACATCAATATATTTCTCTTTTTTTTGGTCGATCCAAAAAAAACTCACAAGACTCTGGTTGCTAATTGGAAGTTAAAAGGAAGTGGTAGGGCTCGACACACAGAATTGTTCAAGTTTCAAATCTTAAATGGAACAACACAATGTATTTCATAGCTGAAATTGCACAACAACATGTTTTATTTCATTTTTTAGTGGCTTAGAGATTGGAATTGAGTTTTGTAATATGACTTGACAATTTGTTGTGCTTCTAAAAATCAGCACAATTCAGGAAATTTTATTTCAGGGCTAGGTATGACCAAGGAATAAACGACTGAAATTTTTTTTTTGGGGTTCATTCCTACTCCACTTAATTTGCAAGCATTAGATCTTTCACATGCACTTCTATATCTTTCAATTCATAAAATACATGTTTATATTACAACAGGGCCGACCCAAGGGCAAGGCTATTGAAGCCATTGCCTCGGGCCCCCAACAGATGAAGATGCATTTATATGTTTGTTATGTGTTCAATGCAAACCACAAAAACTTGTATGTAACCTTGAGTAGTTAAAAGGCTTCACCAATTTTATTACTATTTTCTTGAGAACATTAATTGTTCTCATCACTAACAGAAGAAGGAAAGAATAAAAATAAAATAAAAGAAGCATTGATTGCTTCTTCAAACTTTTCTATAACTGGTGCAAAGATTGTGAAAATCAAAACATCAAAAAAATTCCTTTCTGTACTAAACAGATCTCAATAATTCCAAAAAAAAAAAAAAAAAAAGAGCGCTAAAGTCATTTTCGGTTTTTTATTTATTTTCAAAAAGTTCAAACAAACAATAATAATTTCTTGAAAATTTACTGAAATGTAAGAATTTTAAAGATTCAGATTTATTTTCCAAATTAAGAAAAAGAAAATACATCAATTGACTTATTAAATTATATGAAAAATTATATTCTTCTTTCTAATGCATGCATTGATTACAAAATATTATTCATATCTCTATTAGTTGCTTTTTCAAAAAGATTTTTCCAAAATTAAAATAATAAAATCACATCTAATATTGACAATGACACTTAAATAATTAAGTGGATTAACTAATTTATAAATTGAATAAGACACATTTAAAAAAATTGATTACAAAAGTTTAATTAGTAATAAAGAGCAAGAAAAATTAATTTAAAATGAAAATAAAATATGAAAAATTATAATTGACATTTAAATAACAAAAGGCCTCACTTTAAAATTTTGCCTTAGGCCCCAAAAGGGGGATTGGGAGTGGGTGCTGTGACAGCACCCATGCTGTCACACCCCGTATAGTTTATTCCAACTCTATTTTGATAATTTGAACCATTCATATTATAAGATTTGTTAAATATATTATCCTTATAAAAAATGAAATTAATTGAACAAATATAATCACATGATCAAGACGAATAATAACCCTCCCCGTATAGTTTATTCCAACTCTATTTTGATAATTTGAACCATTCATATTATAAGATTTGTTAAATATATTATCCTTATAAAAAATGAAATTAATTGAACAAATATAATCACATGATCAAGACGAATAATAACCCTAAAAAATTATTAAAATCATACTAAACCATTTATTTTTTTAAACATAAACGTAGTCTTGTTGTAAGTTACAGATGTCTAATTAACTTAAATTTTTTCATGGATGATCTACTCAACGAACCCTGCGCGATGAATATTTTGGATCATTAAAATAAATTTAGGACGTGCCTTCATGGGCTCACAACCACACGGTGCTATGCCTATAAGTCACATCACTCATAATACCAGAATACATACACAATATAATACACAACGACAATTAGACCAGAAATACGAAAGAAATCCAATAACTAACAGTATCACAAAAATACATGTTAACTTCATACATACATACATACATACATACACACACATATATATAGGTGTGGTAATGAGAAATCACATGCATCAAGAAGGGCAAAATGTGGCTGATGTTGTATTGAAGCAAATGTAATATCCAAAACTTGTGATCGAATTGCAAATATAATTAGGAGTCTTGAACCATTTTTGTGGAAAATGCTGATAGCATAAATCATCGGAAACATGAATTTAAGAGTAGTACAAAGATGGAGAAACAGAGTTACCTGTATATGCATTTGGCTTTTCTCAGACAAGTAGGTTAATAATTGCTGTTCAGATGGACGAAGAAGAGAAGCAAATTGGTGAATTAGGGCTGTATGAGTTGCAAGCGAAGCGATCAAAGAACAAACCTTATTGGCGGGAGTGAGGCTAGTCTACAAGGGGTTTAGGTAGTCCAATTTACGTAATAGGCCCAGAAAAATCAGCATTTCTTTTATGCTACGGATGGGGCAATGCATGAAACATACGAGGGTCATCCCAAATTCCCAATTGACGGTTTGATTTTGAGAGGGGAAAAAAAAGGGATTCTAAAATTTTTTGGAACTACTCAATTGATTGAATTACTAAAAATGAAAAAAAAAACCGGGGTTAAATGTTTTTTTTTATTATTTATTTAAAGTAGAGAGAACATATTTCTCTTAAGGTATGTTTGGATTGAGTGATTTGGAGAGAAAATAAAAGAAATAAAGAGATATGTATTTATCTTACTAGTTTAGATGGCTTAAATGGAGAGAAATGGAAAAAAAATGGAAAGAAACATAAATAAACTCATTTCTCTTATAAATCTTATTTTCAATCTTTCCAAAAGTGAAAAGATTTGGAGAGAAAAGAAACTAATAGATTCTTATATTTTTATAAAATTAATTTTGTCTCTGTAAAAATAAAAGAAATCTAACCAAACAAAATATAAAAAAGTTATTTTGGTAATATAAAATAAAACAGTTTCTTTTCTTTTCTCTTATGAAATCTAACCGAATAAGAAGAAGAGAAATCACAATCATTTCTTTTTTTTTATTTCTTACTTATCCAAACAAGAATGAGAGAAATTACAATAATTTCTTTTCTTTTATTTTCTTTTATAATTAAATTAATCATTTCTTTTCTTTTCTCTCATAAATTCCCAAGCATAGTGTTAAAGTTAGTATTTGAATCTTTTCAAAAATGAAAATGTTAAACTTTTTATAATATGAAAATTGTCTATCTAAATACCAAAAAAATAAAAAAAAATTACATTTGTAAGGATTATCTTTGTGAAACAGCACAAGACATTTTTTTCCCTCTAATTTAGTCTAATCAAAATCTTTATTTATTCTCTCTTATTTATTCAAATAATAAGTTCTTTCTTTCTTTTTTTCTCTACCAACTACATTAAACTGAAGCAATGATATCTCCAATGAAAGCAATCTAAGGACAAGGTAGATAAACCAAACAACAGCTGTAAAGCAACTCAAAGGACAAAGGTAAGACTAGACAAGGAAAAATAATTGCAAAGAATAGTTGATTAACTTCCAATATGGACCACACTTTGAGCATATCCTCAGCCGTGCGGACCTCTGTGACTACCATTAATATTAGGAAAATTGAGCTCTGGATGTATTTGCCATAATAGAAATATCTGCAGTGATTGAGAAAAATAACAAAGATGGGCAAACCACATCTTTTAGCTATGCCTGCTCCTGCTCAAGGCCATGTCCTTCCCGTGCTGGAGATCATGCAATGCTTAGTCAGACATGGTTTCAAAGTCACGTTAGTGAACACTGAGTTTACTCAAGAAAGAGTCATCAACGCATCGGCAGGGAAAGACAATATTATAGAGGATCATATACATCTGGTTTCAATCCCGGATGGGTTGGAACCCTGGGAGGATAGA